CAGCGCTACGCCAGGGGTATCCAGCGTTTGCCAGAAGAGGTCGAGAGAGGCCATCTTATTCCTACTGAACTGAGGAAGAAGGGGAGAGTGAGTCAGTAGAGAGAGAGGACAGGTTGCCTATAAAAATGGTGAAGCTTCCTCGACCACGCACCGGTAATTCGCCGGTTGTTACCTTGCCTTCCTAAGAGAGGCTGTGAGAGTCATCGAGGAACGGCGCCCGTGTAAGTCCTGACAATTCAATGTGACCATATACAACTAAGGGGCCCATTCAGGGACAGGCATCTGATCGTGGGAACGGTGTTTCTCCTACAACGGGATTACGACGATGGTTTCTTACATAGAAGCATCCCTCTCTCCGCAGCCGAAGTCCGTCCAAGCCTGAATAACATTCAATCCAGGATGCCATTACACTCGATAACCCCTCTCGCTGTACTCCCTTCCAATCATTTACGCAATCGGACTCCAGCCATCAGTGCAGCGAATGTCCCTCCTTCGCGCATGTGGGGTGAAGCACAACAAGTACGTCCTCTTCCTTCGGTATTTGCGTCATCTCACTAATTACATTTAGCCTTAAACCCAGGGAAATGGAGTCCGCCGCCCGCAGTGCAGGAGTCTCCGAACCCATACTGGCCAAATACCGCCGTCTGAGCGCGTCACACACCAACGCCCTCGAGAGCTTTCCGATCCTTGTCGCCGCACTGGTATGCGGGAACTTTGCAGGTCTGAGGGGAAGGGTGATGAACACTTACGCTTTGGGATAGTGAGTTTCTTTTGGCTTTATGATTACCTGGTGCTGAGCGCCGGGTAGTGCGGTACTGAGGATTGGGTATAATTACGCGTATGCGAGGCAGGAGACGCGCGTAGTTGCTGGAATGAGGACGGTTTGCTTCTGGGTTGGGACGTGTGAGCCTGTTCCCTTAGGCATTTCTGAACTGTGTGCTGATTGATTGTGCCAGTGTGGTCCTTCTGGATCGTAGTGGAGTCAGCAAACGTATTGAGGTTGAAGAGAGCATGAAAGTGATCTTCGGTAGCCAAATCCCTCTGTGTATCATACTATGTACAATCACACCATCCCTCCTTACTGAATTGTTTCCTCCCCTCGTCGAGTGTATGGTAAATATGCATAATGTGACCCACGCGCCCTCGACGCGACTTACATTTCTCCACCACAGCCACTTACAACATTCCTCTCTCATCTTGCCAGGGATGCTACGAGCCCTCTCGAGCACCCGACTTACATCTTGTACCCATGCGCTAACACGACTTTGTTATGGGGTGGAAAGGGGGAGGGGAATGAGCTCACTGGCAGGATTGAGATTGCCGCCTACCATTCAGCAGCTGCTCGCATCTGCTCCAGAGACACCAAGTTCGGACGAAACGGATAACCCTTCCAACGCTCCTACCCCGCAACGAGCCCGAACAATCTACGGTCACCTAACCTCCTTGCGGGTCACAAAGCGCACCGCCTTCCTGCATCTCTCAGATGGATCTACCCACGAACCTCTGCAGGCCGTCCTGAGACCTCGAGAGGCGGAGGGCATGAGTGTGGGCTGTTCGGTGAGGTTAGAGGGGGAGTTGGTGAGGAGTCGGGGAAGCGGGCAAGAATGGGAGTTTTCCGTTAAGGAAGGAGGTGCAAGGGTTGTGGGGGCATTGGATGTGCATGTATGTCATCGTTTTACCTCCCTTGCTCATCACTGACTCCGTTCTGCAGACCTACCCTTTACAAAATAAACAAATTCGCCCCGAAACACTCAGAGAAAACGCGCATTTGCGAGCTCGCCTCCCCACTGGTATCTCTCTCCTCCGTGTACGCTCCCTCCTCGCGCGCGAAATCCATGCCTGGTTCGAGGTGCGCCCCCCTCCGAAATGTCAGCATGACAGCTGATCTGTGTGAAGGAAAACGACTTCTGGAATGTAAATGTGCCGATTTTGACGGGGAGTGACTGTGAGGGTGCGGGGGAGGTGTTTTCTGTTAAGCCATACTCTATGGGTCGGGATGCTGCCTCTGTCTCCTCCCCTGCCCCTTCAACATCGGAAAATCAAACATCGACCGAACTCGCCTCTCCGGAACCCACCCCTCCCTCATCTACTCCCTCTGCTCGCATCCCATCCGCTCCCAAGCCCCATTCCGTCCTCCACGCCTCCCAGTTCTTCCATCGTCCGGCCTACCTCACCGTTTCCGGGCAACTACACCTCGAAGCCCTCACCCCCCCTCTCTCAAGGGTGTACACGCTCTCCCCCTGTTTCCGCGCTGAGCCTAGTCTGACCCATCGACACCTAGCGGAATTCTGGATGCTGGAGGCAGAGATGGGCTGGGTGGAACCTCCCGCTGGTTTGGAGGGGGTCATGGACGTCCTGGAGGGGAGTGTGAAACGTGTCCTTGGCTCGCTACTGTCCAACTCAGCACTGCGGGCTGATGTCCAGCTCCTCCGGTCCTCCTCTCCCTCCTCCGAAACTGACCCCCTCGCCCCGTTGCTCACTTGGTCCTCTACCCCCTGGCCTCGGATCTCTTACACACATGCGATCAGCCTCCTTCAGCGCGCGAAGGCCGAGGGGACACACTTCGAGTACGACCCCAAGGTGGGTGAAGGACTGCAGAGCGAGCACGAGAAGTACTTGGCTGGTCTCATGGGACCTGTATTCGTCACCCGCTACCCGAGAGGGCTGAAGCCCTTCTATATGCGTATCACCGAGCCTGAAACCTCTGAAGAAGGGGAAATAGAGACAGTAGAATGTTTCGACCTCCTCGTACCCCACATTGGGGAATTGGCTGGCGGATCTCTGCGCGAATCCCGCCTTCCGATGCTGGAGGCCTCCCTCGCAGCGCACGGCCTGAGCAGGGAGGAGTATGCATGGTACTTGGATCTGAGGAGATGGGGCGGGGTGCCTACCGGTGGCTATGGGATGGGCTGGGAGAGACTAGTGAGCTGGGTTACGGGTATAGAGAGCGTTCGGGACTGTATTCCCTTCCCTCGGTGGGCGGGGAATATGGTGCTCTAGCAAGCAAAGACCTAAATCTGGTATAACCAGACATTTTAACATATGGTACAAGGGCGGTAATGTACGTAGCATCAGTACAGCAACACCTAGAACCTCCCCCGTCCCCGTCCGCCTCCCCTGCCCCTCCCACGGCCCCTATCACCGCCTCTCCCTCTAGGTCCACCCCTTGCGGCCTCTCCTTCCTTCCTCTTCCCCTTGGGCTTGGGCGCGTCGTCCACCAGCAGAGTATCGAGCGGCAGGGAGTCGGGAAGGATAAAATACCGGATGTTGTTACCCCTTATACTGAGACTGTCAAGTGTCGTAGGCTCGCGGTTGCGAGAAGAGAGCTTGACGGTCTTCAGGTAGGTGTTCATCTGCACGTCGACGCCTGTGTGACCACTGTGTCAGTTAAGGATAAGAGCGCGAATACCAATATGCGTACCAGTGATCGTCCCGTGCACAACGCTCCCGTTCTTGAGCTCAATTGTAACCGTCTCGTTATTAAGCTTCATGAGGAACCTTGAAGATTGTTAGCATAACTATGCCATAATAGAGGTACTCAACACGTGTTTGCCGTGCCGTGCCGCTCAGGTCTTGTCACGCCGTCGAAAGACGGTTTATAACACAAATAGACGCGTAAATGCAGTCAAGAGACACAAAATGACCGCACAAAGACGACCATAGCCCAACGAGGGAAATAGAGCCGAATCTCCACACAGGACGTGCCCAAAGGAGTGCGCCCGGCGTGGCAGACCGGCAAACAACGTCGTGCGCCCACAAACGTCCTCGCAGATATATGCAAGGGGGTGCACGACGAGAAGAGAAATATTTACCTGACGAGCTTCATTTTGAACTTTTGACGTGCTGGTTGGCGGTGTTGAGTTGTCGTTGGTCGTCGTGTGATGGAAGTTTCTGGGACCCCTTGGTACCCAGGTCTTGACATGAATAATTCGACACGAAAATGCATCCGTTTCGGATGCATACAAGCCTCGGTTACAAAGAGATCACGGAATCAGACCAGACCTATAAACGAGAGAGTGGCGAGGTGAAGAAACACACTTACACTGCTTCCGCTCGGAACAAACATGTCCCTTACTCGGCTCCGTTGGGTGAGATCGCCCCTGCACCGGTCTTCAGTCAGCGTCTTGCACAATGTTAATACGAATACCCTCTGGCTTATTGGCACTGCTACTGTTACTACTGTCTGGCATATTACCACAAGCTCTTGCGTCCTCACATGCCCAAGATGCTGCTGCCGCCTTCTTCGCCCCTACCCAAGAGCACACCAACAACTGGGCCGTGCTCGTCTGTGCCTCCCGGTACTGGTTTAACTACCGACACATGGCCAACACCCTAGGCATGTACCGCACTGTCAAGCGTCTCGGTATTCCCGATAGTAACATCATCCTCATGCTCGCTGATGATGTCGCCTGCAACGCGAGGAATCATTTCCCAGGGACTGTGTTTGCGAATGCGGACCGGAAGCTGGACTTGTATGGGGATAACATAGAGGTCGATTATCGGGGGTATGAGGTGACGGTGGAGAACTTTATACGACTGTTGACAGGTGCGTCGGTTTCAGCTGCCCTTGCATTGAACTGAGCACAAGTTCGCAGGGCGTGTCTCCCCTACCCTTCCACGATCCAAGCGACTACTCACCGACGCCCGCTCAAACGTCTTCGTGTACATGACAGGGCACGGAGGGGCCGAGTTCCTCAAATTTCAGGACAACGAGGAGATCTCCGCGTTCGATATTGCCGATGCATTTGAGCAGATGTGGCAGAAGAGACGTTATAACGAACTGTTTTTTATGGTCGACACTTGCCAGGCGAACACCATGTATACCAAGTTCTATTCACCGAATATACTTGCGACTGGGAGCTCGGAGCTCAAGGAGAATTCGTACTCTGTATGTTTTTGCCATTGCTTCCAATCCCAGACCACTGATAAAACGGCAGCATCATAACGACGCAGACATCGGGGTAGCAGTGATCGACAGCTTCACTCACTACATTCTGCAATACATGGAAGGGCAAAACAGCACGTCCAAAACGACGTTACAAGATCTCGTACGCCCTCTTCCCTCTGTCATGGTATATAGGATGCTGACAACATCAGTTCGCGACATACGACCCTGTGCGGATCAAGTCCCACGCTGGGGTACGATCAGACTTGTACCATCGTCCGCTGGACCAAGTGAGAATCACGGATTTCTTGGGCGCTGTCTCTAAAGTAGATGTACTACCGTTAGATTATTGAGAAAATACCCGTGTGTGGCAGTCGAAAGTGCATGATACTGCACATACTGACGATCTTCTCGACCAGGTTGTTGCTTGTCGACGCTATTGGCTAGATCTTCTAATAATGCTGATCATAGAGAGTCGCTCTTCACTTGACAGCATGTGTTCCAGTGCGAGTCCAGCTCTCTTGGCAACTACTACTATCGATATCCCGATGTCGAAGGGTCACGTTCGGAGATATCTCTGGGCTGGCGGCATCATGAGCCTCATTTGGTGCTACCACTAGACTAGTACTTTTGTTTCCATTGCGGAATAGGGTATGTCTCACACCATTACGCTCGCGGCACTCAAATCCGGGTAGCATGTGTGGCTCAAGATTGCAATGTTGCGCTCGCGGCACTCAATCAGCGTGGCACGCGTGGATTAAGATTGCAATGTGGGATCGTATCGCCAGACTCGCTTCACCGAAAAGACTTCCCTCTTCCTCTGGAAATATCTGCTGCTGCTTGTCTTGCGCCCATCTATTGAACTGCGGAGAATGACACATCTAGGTGCAACCTCCTACCGCCCACAGATATTCTGATTGGGCTTCTTTTAATCTTTATATGTGACAATGAAAACTTATTTCGACAATCCGCCTTCGGTCGTGAGTTGTCACTTCGGCAGCCCACCCGGACGGTCCCTTCCTCAGACTGCGCCGGTGCAGGGGACATGCAGTGAAACCCGCTGCCGATCTGATTTCGGGCGCCTGAGAGAAGATCAGGTGATGTGTTTGGTAAATAGTGTGAGTCAGCCCCAATGACGTAACCTAAATCTTTCCATTCGTCCCTACCTCATCTTGCATGCCGCCCGCAGTCGTCACGCAAGGCCGAAAGTTTATAAATAGTTCTTGTTCTCGAGATCTTATAAGATCGAAAGGACACATTGAATGTGACCACAACACAAATCAGAGCCAAGATGTCTCAGGTCACTACCCTGGAGAGAGTCAACACTCATAATAGCGAATCGGTATGTTTGTTTCACTCCGTCTCCCTATCGAATCCAATAACATTATCATTGCAGTTCGCACTTAAGCCCATCAATTCAGTAGGCAATGACCCAGGACAACACACCGCAGCATCATCAGCTGTCCAGCCAATCAGTGAGACAGGCACGACAATCGAACGTAGAGGCGAAACGGACACTGCTCCTCCAGCTTCTACCCCTGAGGAGGCAGATCCGGAGTTCCCAGTGATGCCGAAGTGGCAGCTTCAGTTAACATTTGTATCGTACGTGGGGGAATTCATGAGTGTGGAACTTTCGTAACAATTTATTAGACTTGCGGTTGTTGGCTTTCTCGCAAACCTAGACACGTCGATCGTTGCCACTGCGATGCCTACGATTGCATCAGAGTTCGACTCGCTCAACCAGCAGTCATGGATCGCGCTCTCTTATCTTCTCACAAACACAGTGTTTCAGCCGATGTGGGGTCGTGCAACGGATCTCATCGGCTCTCGCACCATCCTCTTCGTATGCGTCTTCACGTTCGAACTGGGAAGCTTGCTTTGCGCCTTGTCCAAGAATTTCATATGGCTGTGCTGTGCGCGTGCTATTGCCGGACTTGGAGCAGGAGGAATCACCATCGTCATCATGGTCATACTGACTCAGATGGTGTCCATCAGGGAGAGGGGAAACTACATCGGCATTTTTGCTGCCAGAATTGTTATTGCCATGATCCTTGGACCGGTACGTCCATCTCATCACTCGTTCGGAGTAACTTCTAACTGTGACCAAGCTTCTTGGCGGCCTCTTTGTCAGCTTCGACTGGAGATGGTGTTTCTGGATCAACCTTGTATGTGTACCGTCCTCAGTTACACGCATTTCTTGACAGTTGTCCGAAGGTAATCTCTGTTCCGGCTCTTGCGATCTTAGTGGCATTCATCAAGAAACTGCCTAATAGGACCAAGCCCGACATTGCTTGGCGCGATATTGACTACGGCGGCCTCGTCATCCTCGGAGTCTGTGTCACTGCGATTTGTCTTGCCTTCAATTGGGGTGGCATTGTCTATGAATGGAACAGCGCCGTCATCATCGCACTTCTTGTGGTCGGCTTCGCCCTTGTCCTCGTCTTCGTCATATATGAGATCAAGGTACCGAAGCTGCCGCTCATTCCGATGAAGATGTTCAGATTCAGGAATGTGACAACCACCACCGTGAACAATTTCTTCACAGCGGCCGCTATGCTGGGTGTATTTATCTACCTCCCATCATACTATCAACTCGTCCGACATGATAAGCAAGTCATCTCTGGGTTGGAAGTTCTCCCCTAGTGCGTCATCAAGTAGATGAGTGCTTTACCTGTACTGATATCGGTCATAGCATTATGCCGCTGCTTCTCACTTCTACCCTTTCTGGCTTGATCGTAGCACGTACCGGCTATGTGCAAGGTGTGCTCTGGGTTGGAGGTATAGGCAACTTGCTCGGAACTGGTCTCCTCATCTTACTCAACGGTCGATACCCCCGTGCCGTCGAGTACGTCTTGTTGGTACTCACCGGATTAGGGAGTGGGTTCTTGATGCAGAGTACTATCTTGAGCGCTCAAAGCCAAGTTCCCCGGGATATTCTTGCAACAGTTACAACTATGTCCTTGTGGAGCAGGAGTATGGGAGGAGTCATAAGTATCGCAATGCAAGGAAGTATCATCACCAATCTTTTCAAGAGGAGCCTTCTGGAGACCCCGGCCGCACTACCTGTAAGTTCGCTCGAGGAGAGAAAGTTAATTACTGACTCCGGAGATAGTATATCAATCAACTGCTCGCAGCGTCAAATGTCGAATCTCTGCCGCCCGAGGTGCAAGTTATTGCCGCACAATCTTATGGCTCGGCGTTCCAGATGATGATGGTGGCGACGACCGTCTTCTGCACACCAGGATTCATTGCATCTCTGGCCACTAAGAAAGAGAAGTTGAGCTAGGAAGTCGCTTAGTAAAGCGAGAAAGCGTTATGTGGTTGTCCGTGGAATAACGCAGGTGGAAAGATGCTGAAAGCACGACCTATTGCGAGGTGTGGTTTAATTCTGCAACTTCTTCAGCAAGTCAAAGTTCGACCTGTCCTTCTCCGTAATCCAATAGTTGCGATGGGTTAATTCAAGAGGATTTTGCTGGAAGTGAAATTGGGACAACACCTGAGTTGTATTTAAATGCAGTTATTTGCGCATGAGGTTGGAATGCATCGGAGCGGTGATCGGTGCCTCGATAGCCATGAGTCTGATCGGCAGTTGAGACATGACGACTGTGCCGCTGAGAATATTAACTTCGATCACAGGTCTATTTATCCGACACCTCACTGCGGCCGCCTGAGAAGGAGAAACATCACGTGACGTATAGAAGAATAAATAGTCGAGTCAGCAGTTATCACGTAATATGATCCCCTGCTTTTCGCCCCACGGTGACTCCCGGTCCCTCTTCGTCGTTGCACCCTTTACCCCGAGCCTTCCCGCCGCAGTCCTCCGTCATCGAATGCCGAAGATATAAATATATCTGTCAACGATCTCTGTCATATTCTTATACGCCAATGAGGCGGCAAAACAACATATATCTGTGCTGAGCTTATAGAAGATTGGACTGCGCTGAACCGTCCCCAACATGACCGAGGTCTCTACTACTACCTTAGAGAGGGTCAACACTCACAATAGCGAGTCCGTATGTCACTTTCGCCAAGGTTTGGTCCTCTCAATGACTATTGTTTGTAGATTGCACTCAAACCCCTTACAACAAGACGAGCTGTTGTCGCTCAGGATGCTCATTCTGGAGCGTCGTCGAATCATCAACCTCCGAGCGAGACTGCCACCGTCGTCGAGGATGGAGGTGAGACGGGGCCTACTACAGCAGCACCTCGTCCCGAGGAGCTAGGTCCTCCACTGCCAGTAATGTCGAAGTGGCAATTGCAACTGACATTTGTCTCGTACGTTGGATCAGTTCATGCATGTACCCTGATTGTTAACCACGTGCTAGGCTTGCTGTTGTCGGTTTCCTCGCCAACTTGGACACGTCAATCGTTGCCACTGCGATGCCTACGATTGCTTCTGAGTTCAATTCCCTTAACCAGCAAGCATGGATCGCCCTGTCGTACCTCTTGACAAATACCGTGTTTCAACCAATGTGGGGTCGTGCAACGGATCTGATCGGTTCTCGCACTGTCCTCTTCGTCTCCGTGTTCATATTCGAGCTTGGAAGCCTGCTTTGCGCCGTGTCCAAGAATTTCATATGGCTGTGTTGTGCCCGTGCAGTTGCCGGACTGGGAGGTGCTGGAATAATGATCGTGATCATGGTCATTGTAAGCCAGCTCGTTCCACTGAGGGAGAGGGGCAACTACATGGGTATCATGTATGCGCGGATTGTGATTGCTACGATCCTTGGACCGGTGAGCCAGTCCCATCGCTGATACGGGGCATCCTATCTAATGTTGTATATAGCTTCTTGGCGGCATCTTTGTGAGCTTCGACTGGAGGTGGTGCTTCTGGATCAATCTCGTATGCGTTAGCGCCTTCTGTTTGTGTTTCATTGCTGATATTGTTCCGCCAAGGTCATCTCTGTACCGGCCCTCGCGATCTTAGTGGCATTCATTAAGAAGCTGCCTTATGCGACCAAGCCGGATGTCAGTTGGCTTGATATTGACTTCGGTGGCCTCGTCATCCTCGGAGTTTGTGTCACCGCGATATGCCTTGCCTTTAATTGGGGCGGCATTGTCTATGAATGGGACAGTCCTGTCATCGTAGCGCTTCTCGTGGTCGGCTGGGTCCTGGTCCCAGTGTTCATTATATACGAAATCAAGATCCCTAGACTGCCCGTCATTCCCATGAAGATGTTCAAATTCAGGAATGTGACGACCACCACTGTGAACAACTTCTTCACAGCGTCTGCTCTGATGGGCGTTTTCATCTATCTTCCGTCGTACTATCAAATAGTTCGACACGACAAGCAAGTCATCTCCGGGTTGGAAGTGTTACCTTAGTGCGTTATCGATCGGGTGCTGCAACGGTCTGTACTGACATGTTAACAGCGTCATGCCTCTGCTGCTCACTTCCACTCTCTCTGGGTTGATCATCGCCCGCACGGGCACCGTACGAGGCATACTCTGGATCGGAGGCTTGATCAACCTGCTCGGAACCGGTCTCCTCATCATGCTCAATGGACAACACCCGCGTGCCGTCGAATACGTCTTGCTCGTGCTCACTGGGTTAGGGGGTGGGTTTTTGATGCAGAGCACAATTCTGAGTGCCCAGAGCCAAGTGACGCGGGACCTCCTGGCCACGGTTACAACTATGGCCATGTGGAGTAGGAGTATGGGGGGAATTCTCAGTGTCGCCATGCAAGGAAGTATCATCACCAATCTTTTCAAGCGCAGCCTACTGGCAAACTCATCTGCAATCCCCGTACGCTTATTTCATGTCGGAAGCGTCGACTCGTGTTTACCATGATATCACAGTACATTACCCAATTGCTTCAAGTCTCGAATATAGAATCACTCCCGCCAGATGTCCAGGTTATTGCAGCACAGTCTTATGGTGCTGCTTTCCAGATGATGATGGTGGCGACAACGGCGTTCTGTGCGCCAGGGTTTATCGTGTCTTTGATTGCGAAGAAGCAGAAATTGAGTTAAAGGGCACTTTGTACGATTGAGACACTGCTGTAGAGTCAATTTGTGTTTCAAAAAGGGGAATGTGAGGAATGAAGCGATCACGGTGAATAATGAATGAGATCGGAGATAGAACAATGGGTATATGGCATTCCGGACATTTGATGAAGGAGAAAGAACACAAACATGTGTCAAACTCTCCTCGTCGATGAGATGTATGCGCTCACGTGACCAATGTCACAGAGAACGCACCCCTATCATTCGCCGTCAACGCCGACTACAACGACGACGACATAACGACGGTGGTTACACACCACGACCGTGCTTAGATTCTTGCGCAGCGTTACCAGTCGACCGCGTTAATCGATACGCTGCGCGAACGACGTCGACTCCGACTGCGACCAAGTGCACAGCATCCCGTCCCATCTGTACGTTGATCAAGCCCAATCTCTACGACTATCCCATCTCTGTCGAGTGTCTGCATCTTCTACAATGTCATTCACGCAAGGTACGGCAGGACTTTTGGAGCGATACACATTGCTGATCAGGTCATTAGGCAAGCTTTGTCCATGCAATCCGACTACTGAAAGGTATATGAATCCCCACCTTGGGCTACCGACATCAACTGACGTTCTCGGACGCAAGAGGTGTGTCAACCAAATTGAGCGCGACCGGCAGCAAGCTAGTTTATACGAATGGATCAACTGTTGTTGTGCGCATACTCATTCCCCCACCCGTGCATTTGGTGATATAGGATTCAGATTCGCGATCTGGCTGTGGGTTGCTTCTATGAGGGCCTGTCTAGAGGCTGACCCCATGTCAGGACCCAGCGGGTAACAGCACTTATGCTGGCCATATTCAACCTGCGACTGTTGCGCGGTTCTCCCCTTCTGGATACTACTGTGCTTCTGGGGACGTTGCTGGCAATGGTTCGTCCATGCACATGCTACGTTTGCCTCGTCTGACGTATGTTGCAGTCCGAGTTTGGGACACGGTCGGTGCCGACAGAATACTGAAGAACGAGGTCAAGACTGGGATCAAGATGTGGGCATGTCAGTGAAAGTGTCCTGGAGTAGCTCATGGAGGTTTCGTGTCTAGAAATGACCTCGAGTGGGATGGCGAGAGCAAACGCATCATTGCGGTGGGAGACGGGAAGAGCCGGTATGTCCGTCTCTTTACATCCAGAAAGAGTGTATGTAACATTTTTTCGATATAGCATGGGAAGCGTGTTCACCTTCGATACTGGAAACTCTGCGGGCGAGATTATGGGTCATTCTAAGGTGCGCCACCTATAGAGGAAGAGACTACCACGCTGAGCGGTTGCAGCCAATAAATGCTGTCTCGATTCGCCACCAACGACCCTTCCGAGCCGTTACTGCCTCTGATGATGCACAGATCGCCTTCTTCGAAGGTGCACCCTACAAGTACAAGAAATCGATCAAGACCCATACACGCTTCGTTCAGGATGTTCGCTACGCCCCGTCGGGCGATCTGTTCGCCAGTGGAGGGTCGGACGGCAAAGTCTTTCTTTACGATGGGAAGACTGGAGATGTGATCATAGAGTTGAAAGAAGGTGCACATTCAGCCACAGTGGTACGTCCGATGGAGATAGATACAGTCGCTGCCTCTTATCATTTGACTAGATGGCATGTAGTTGGAGCACAGACTCTAAGTCACTCGCCACCTCATCGACCGATGGCACTGTGAAATTATGTCAGTCGTCTCCTTGCACTTCACAATTTGTAGTCTGATATCATGCAGGGGATGCCGAAACCCACAAGATTATCAACACCTGGACAGTGGGCACGGGCATTCACAATCAGCAAGTTGGCAATACCTGGGTGCAGGAGGACATTGTCAGTCTCTCCCTCTCCGGCGATCTAAGCGTATTCGATCGCAGAGAGGCGGAGAAGCCTCGGCAGATCCTCTATGTGAGATCCATCTCTCAAAATTATTTCTTGCTCCGTTAGCTTATGCAGCATTAACTAGGGCGCTCAACGGCCTATCACTGCATTCACTGCCGCATTATCCGGCACCATGTATGCGGGCTCATACGATGGTCGCGTGGTGTCTTTCTCTGACAATGGGGCCGAATCCGTTAAAGGAGACGGTCCGTCCTCCCAAGTGACCGCCTTGGCTGCTGTCGAGAATAAGGTGATCTCCACCAGCTTCGACGATTGCGTAAGGGAGATTGACCTGGGAACTGGTGCATTTACGTGGGTTGTTCGCCCTCCACGTTGAATGTCTTCTGAAAGCTTTCCAGATTGATGTCAGTTGGTACGAATGGTCAGCCTAAGGATGTCGCTTGCGACATGGATGGCATTTATGTCATAACCAGCCGAGGTTTGGAATGCATCAAAGAGGGAAAAGTTCTGTCGAAAACACCCGTCGGTTCTACCCCCTCTTCCGTTGCGACTTCTGCAACCCTCATTGCAGTTGGTGCTGAGGTCAGTACGAGTAGCCTTATCTGCACACATGATCTCATGCTCTGCAAGGATCAAAAGGTTTACCTGTTTGAGAAAGGCGCTGATCCGAAAGAGGTGGGCAAGCTGGAGTCCAACAGGGGGATGATCACAGCGCTCGCGTTTTCTCCCAGTGGGCAGCTTCTAGCAGCAGGCGACGTGAGTAGTGATAATACAGACCCAAATCTTATGACTGACATGCAGCAGTCGACCGGTCGCATTGTGCTATATGACGTGGAGAACAAAGAGGTGAAGACATCGCGATGGACGTTCCACACCGGGCGTATCTCGTCAATCGCCTGGACACAGGACGGCAAACATGCCGCATCTGGTTCTCTAGACACGAATATTTATATCTGGAGCGTGGACAAGCCGATGAGCAACATCGCAATCAAGAATGCGGGAACTCGTGGAGTCTCCGGAGTGGCATGGGTGAGCCCTAACATCGTTGCAAGTGCTGGTGCGGATGGGTGTGTAAGGACGTGGGAGATTAAGTTCCATGATTGAGGATTGTTGTGCTTTTTTGCCCTGGAAATGAATTGAAATGCGAGGATGGTTGTATCTCAAATTGTATTGGTGGTTTGAACCATTCACATGCTCGAGAACGGTACGAGTCTTGGCAGGCCGTGATTCCACTACCTGCCCATTCTTCGACAATTCTATCAGATTTCTGTGCGAATGCGGTCTGATATCAACAAGTAGCCGCAGATATTCGACAATATCTGGACATACATGATGAGAAACATTTCCAAATTGCTCTTGCATACATTACGCCATGTAGTGCAGAGTGAACAGTTTCAACATACCATAATCGATGGAAAACGATGGGTGTAGAATGAAGTCGTAAAAATGCACTACGTGATACATGGTCATTCAAATTCTAAGACGTTAGTCAATCAATCAATCTGCGCCAAACGTCTATCGATCCCCGCTCGTGCTCTAGCTTCAAGGATCACGCCGCTAGCGGCGCTTATAGCATGCCCATAGTAAAATGCGGCCCGTGCCAGCAACTCGTGTTCCAGCACAGCCTGTACATCGCCGAACATTAAATACTGGGCAAAGTGGCCCAAAGAAGCGCGGTCGGCCGGGGTAAGGAGGTCGGATAGGAGGACCACGCCGGTCGAATGGAGGAGCTTAACAGAGGTTTCGTCCTGTGCGTCCGTGGCGAGAAAGATCCTGAAACGAACGCGTCAAAGCGATGGTCGAACATGCGGTGGAAAGGGTGCTTACTGATCGTTTCCGAGCGGTGGAGAGCTGTCCAATATCTCCCGATTTGGTATGACACCGGGTACTTCATATGGGAGAATATCATGGCTGTTCCGAACTTGACGTATGATATCCAGAGAGTGCGTAAGTTTGTCCTTGATGCGCCTGATGTGGGTGGGCAAAGCGTTTTCCATGACCCAGGCAAGCTGCACCACTATGACCACACTCAGTCTAGTGTAAACAGGAAGGTTGACTACGCACTATCACGTCGCCGCATGTGTCCTCCGAGCCATAACCGACCTTGGTTCACAGCTCGCATACGCTGGTCAAGTTTCGCAGCTAGATTGATGAAAGGCATCGGCGGTCGGAGGTCCCACACCGCAGTGCGCTGATAGTCCTCCATAGCCGCTTGCGTGGTGAATCGCATCCCACCCTAATCAGAACAGTTGTCAGGACGCAACAGCGGGGTAGCACGGAGACGCACGGATTTTCTCCATAGGTGTAACTCTCCCTCCATATGCAGCACATCCTGCCACACGTGTCCAAACTCCTCAATAAAACCGCTCAAGGCGGATGAGAACCCCACCTGTTTCGTGGGGTGCACGACAGACTTGACAAAGTCCATCCGAAGTCTGATGAATATGAGCACCATACGGTCACAGGAGAAGAAGGCACTCACTCTCCCTTGAACGAGTACACCACCGCGCTCCCTGCCTCGTTCAGAGCCTTCTGAATCTCCCAATCATGCCCCACGTCGATCGGTCCGCCGCTGAGTTGAATCTGGCGCGAAATTAGCTGTTCGTTGGAAAAAAGCAGATGTTGTTTACCTTCGTATCGTCCCAATCGAGCGCCCCGCCGCCGCCGATCGTCTGCTGCAATCGCTTCCTCACTTTCTCCCCTAGTTCCGTTCCTCCCTCCCATAGCGTCGGAGGCTTTACGAGCTTATCAACACGCATCGTATCCACCGGTTCGTACAGATGGCTCCCGACGGTGTACAGTGACAAACCAGTATTCATCAGGGAGAGTCGGTTGAATGTCCCTGACCAGTTTTCGGTCGAGACAGAGAGTCCGAACAGGGGATAGAATTCGGAGTAGAGAAGAACAGAATGTCGGCTGCGAAGGTTGGGGAGATCGATCATTACCTGCGCATACATTAACATTCGATAACAGTCTGGAAGATAGAGAGATCGTACACCGAGCGGGATCTTCCACCCATCTCGTCCCGTATGTCCGCCGTACCCCAATGTACCATCTCTATCCATGAATTCTGCAAATGCTGAACAAGCAGCGCTAACCCCAATGTGAGTGCATACTTCTTGGCAAATTAAGAACAAAACTTACGCGTTAAACTCGCATTCACGAGCATATACAAAGCTCGGCAGCACCAGGGTGCGGTTGAGCAAGTCCGCTTGCAATACAGCAGCTTGTATGATGAAACGCATCTGTATGCGCTTCAGACAGCGGTTCCTCAATCATGGTGCACAACGGCTTACTTGACTCCATCCTAAACCTAAGCTCCAGTCGCGCACGTAGAATCCCTTCGTCTCCGCTATCATCTCCCTCATCTCCCTCTCCCCCCACTGCACAGTCTCCTCTGATTGCTGATCCATGGGGATCGGGCAAAGCTTCTCGTCGTCATGTAGGTCTGGTGTGGAGGTTGTTTCTGGCGGTCGCCAGTTTCGAGTATATCCAGATGGTGCCGGGTATATCGCATAACCAGCTTTCGCACCAAGGTATGCAAAGAAAGTCACGAAGCATACACAAGCGGTGACGATTACCAGGCGGCGCTTGAGTTTGCCGCCGAACCTGAATGTGCTTCGAGATGTATGCTCTGACAACCGGTCGATGGCGCGCATTTTTGGCAGACCTTCCTCCATGTTCCTCGCAGACAAAAGAGAGTTATCAGATGTACAGAGAACGAGGGAGCTTAAGAAAGTATATGGTGTTCTTGGTGGTCGGGCATTGCTCAGCTGCGATTTATACTGGGCGTGTTGCGCGCAAAAGACCCTTGCTTCAGCCCGGCAGAAGGATTATGTAACAACACCTAACCCAAGTAACCCTAACCTGAAATATGATCCGACTCTGCAAACATCTCAGAGAAGCTGGGTGATTTTTCTGGAGGCGCTTCTAATTCTCGTGCATGATCAATTGTAATTCAGACCAAGTCAGTCTGAATTACAATTGATCATGCACGAGAATTAGAAGCGCCTCTCCAAGTTGGTGTGTGATGCACTCAGATGGCAGTACTTGGCCAGTGCAGATTCAGAAACTCCTGCACTGTGGGCAGCAGACTCCATTTCCCTGGGTTTAAGGATAATGCAGAATTAAAGATATGATGCAAATAGTGAGGGAATGGCACACTTGTTGTGCTTCACCCCACAGGCATGAAGGAGGGACATTTGCTGCACTGATGGCTGGAGCCTGATTGCATAAATGATTGGAAGGGAGTACAGCAAGAGGGGGGTATTGAGTGTAATGGACATCCTGAATTGGATGTTATTGAGGCTTGTATTGTAGAGACTTCGGCTGCAGAGAGAGATGGTGGAATGTAAATCAAAGAAATACTTTGATGTTCCCATGATCAGCTGACCCAAAATGGGCCCTTAGTAGCATATGGTCACCATCATGAGGAGGTCCATGTCACCATTTTTATAGGCAACCTGTCCTCTCATGAGCCTTACCAAGACACAAGATTGTTGACATTCCCATCACTGCCCTCACTTGTGCACTTTGCCTCCCCAGTCTAGCTGTTAGGGCAACACAGGCTGACTAAGTCTGCTCACCTAAGAGTGCCAAGAGTCTAAGCAGGCAACAAGGAAGTGGTGTAGACCTGATGACTAAGACCTATCTACAGTATAGGTACCTGTGGATGATCCTAAGAGACCAAGTCTGAAGAGACAGTC